TTATTTATGCGAATCGTGTTTCAGATTTTTCCAGACAATGCTACGAAGCGTGAATTACGTGTCAAGTTTGTAGAGTGTCCGAACAAGAAATGTGGTTGGAAAGGAAACTTTAGAAACTATGAGGTAGGAAAAAATGAACGTCAGAAAAATTCTTTGCATTTCAAACTTTGTTTTATATATTAATCATTGTATCCTTCCATTTATGTATTGTCTGATATCTTGTTCAGGGTCACTATGATGTGTGTGCCTGGCTATTAATTTTGTGTAATAAACAAGGATGCGATGAGATGGTCATCAGAGGCAATTTGGCAAGTCATCTTGAAAATGAATGCTTGATGCGCATTGTTCAATGCCAATTCTGTGAAGTAAAGATTGTTTTCAAGAATGTAGAGGTAAGGCTGAAGTGTTATAAATAAATAATCCATATATACCATATTTCTATGAGTGTACAAAAATGTTGATTACTTACCTTAAACATCGCTTACTCCTACTGGTCAAATATATAACTGTGTACACAAATAATGAATACAAATAAATAATTAACATGCACATGTAAACATGTAAAGCGCTTACCTATTTAATTGACAGTAATCGTAATATCTGCTCACTAAATATTGTTTCCTCGTGGATATATGATATATATATATATATACAATACAATGACACTGATTGTTGGCGAAATCAAATATTATGTAGCAATTGTTAAATGAGACGCAATTGACTACCCACAGTCATGGCTAAAAAGGTCATCAAATTTGTTTTTTTCCTTTCAGAAACATCATATGAATGAATGTCCTCTGTATCCCGTCAAGTGTCAGTATTGTGGACGGGATGATTTTACGCGAGACAAGGTAAGAATAAATACGTTAGGCAAACCAAAACCTTCCCAACTGAAAGAAAATCTAATATTTGAAAATGATACATGATATTGGAAACATGTGAATATACATTTTTAATTATTTTTATTTATTTTAATATTTACTATTATAATTATTCTTATTGGTGGTGCATTTTTTTCAATAGTTCAACAGAATTATAAATTCTAGTGATCAAATTTCAGTATAATCAGTTTAATATCTGAATATGTGGCAAATGGTTATGTTTAAGGTATCACTATTTCTGAAAAGAAAAATATACTGAGGTTTGTTTTCTCCTTTCATGTAGCGTTGACACACTACTGTCTAAATAAATTAGCACCTCGAATGTTGTGTAAATTGAAGATTTTACTGTGCATATTATAGAAATGGAACTGTTATTGTAAATAAATTCAGTGATCAATCTGTAATTGAATATTATGGTTTAGACATAATCTACTCCAAATACTCATCCCACGTCTCAATTAAACTCCATTAAAGGATAACAAAGCATTCACAATAACAGTGCATTTTTTCGTACTCACCAGCGAGCGAATTCGCACAAGGTTAAGGTGTTACAGGTTCTAATACTCATAGGATTTAACGTCTTCATTTAGTGTGATGATATCAAGACAATTCACTCAAAGATGCGAGCGGGAATTCAAATATATGTTTCACCCCAAATTTCAGTACAAATTGCGCTGTAAAATACCCCTACAATACAACATGTTATTTACGTCACTGTCCCAGTGCTTGCATAAGTTTATTGTTTCCAGGGTATTTCAAATAAAAAGAACAAGCTAAATATGTCATTTTGGTATAATCACAAACAAATTTACTATGATACTGCAGAATATTGTTTTAGTAATAGAAATGTAATAGAAACGTTACAATACACTAAAACGGTCTGCACTATAATTGTGTATGTTGAATAACTGAACTGAGAAGATATGCGTTGCGTTTACGGTACTAATTTGAATTATTGGAATACATACATACATATACATATTGAAGTTACTGACAAATACATTTATTTGTTTTCCTGTATTGTGAAGTTAAAACTTCATCAGGACCCAACCGATGGAGATTGTGAAAAAAAACTTGTACTCTGCACTTACAGTGTTGTCGGATGTGAAGAACAGGTATGTAGTCATTTCATATCTAATTGCAATATTGTTGACATACATTATGGCATTTCGACAATTACAACTCTAAACACATGATATGCACATCCACCTTGTCACCATCTGCATTATCTTGTTCACTGTTAGGCATGTCAATTGGTTACGTTTTGTAGTTTTCAGCAATATGCCAGTTGTTTCTTTAAAATAGAATAAATTCATCATTGTAAGGATGTGATGCATATGTCATTACACATTCGTGCACACTTATTATGTCGGAGTTATAATGGGAATAGCTTAACACTTATATAGTTAAGTAGTTTTTCACGGGACGGATGGCTATCGATAAACCAGTCCTAGCACATTATTTTGATGTGATATTTGAGTTGGTGCTGTTAAATTTCCAGATACAAGCAGAAGATCTGGTCACTCATTTAGAAAACCGAATGCTTGATCATCAAGAACAACTGCTACATAATGTTCTCAAAGTACATGGATTTGTTGAAAGTAACAAGAAAGATAAAGAAGCAATGCAGCAATTGTTTTCACAATTTGAAGATCAAGAAAAACAAAGTGAGAAGATCAAAAAAAGATGCGCACAGTTAGAAAAAGATATATCAAATGTGTTGGAAAATGTAAATCAAGGTGG